GATATTCTAAGGCACAGGGCAATACAAAGGACGCTTTCTCCTTGGCGTTCGGGCACGTCTTTAAATTGCTGCATGACATGTAAGTAATGCAGCAAATTAGCAAATCGTGGCAGTCTCTCTTTAGATCAGGTGCCCCTTACATCTGTGTATTAATTGATAAGGTAAAGCTTAAGGAATTCTCGGTGTGAATACATTACTGGCATTACAGAGCTGATTGCACTTATGAATTACTGCAGGCACACAGGTAACGTGATAAGTTGCGATTATATTGTAAATGCATCTAAAATAACGCTTACCGCTTTGGCAAGAATATGCTTGGAAAATTAATATATTTTATAGCACCATAAATATCATTTAAATAGAATCTGTCATGTTTAGGATGTTGGAAAGCATGTGGTGTATTTAAAGCACATTATAACACATTTTTACACTTATAATAAAAAAATATATTACACTTAGTAATAATACAAAATTTACATAAGTAATTCAGTTAGAACAAATCTTTAAGAATCAAAATAAAAATGCAAAATATAGTCTTGGGTGCTTCATAAATTGTTATTATTATATATTTATTTAGAATTGCAGCATTTAAAGCAAAGTTATTGGCACCTCTGAAATTAAACAATATAATTTAAAAGAATATATGTTGGATGAGTTCTTTTGATATACATCCTCTCCCTTTTTTTTTTTTGATATTGCATTAAAGGATTTATGTGTTACCTTAATGATAAATAATCATTTTTACTATGACTTAGACGTGTGGTTATAAGTGCATGATATAAATATGTTAATTCTGACATTCAACAATGACATTTCAGTCATAATTTACTCCTCCCCATGTCTTTCATTAAACACAAAAGGGGATGTTTTGCAATCTGTTCACACAGCTTATTTATATACATCTAAATAGTATAGTAACCACATGCTGCTAAAAAAAAAAAAGCATTAAAGTTGGCATGAAATCAAAATCAACCCTATTTATTTTCTTAAGACACGCTGTTTGTTTTTACAGTATGTGAATGATTCATCCATGCAAATTAAAATGCCATTTATTATAAAATGTCATTTATTCCTGTGATTGCAAAACCGAATTTTCAGTCTTCAGTCACATGATCCTTTAGAAATCATTCTAATATGCTGATTTGATGCTCAAGAAACATCAATGTTGAAAACTGCTTGATATTTTTGTGGAAACCATGATACAGGTTGATTCAGGATTCTTCAATTAATAGATTTATTTTCGTAACAACTTCAACTTTTGATCAATTGAATGCATCAAGAAATAAAGTCAGTCAATTCCATTTCATTCTGACTTCAAAGCATCTTAAATGTAGTCCTTATGACTTTTTTGTAAAAAAAAAAATCTAATCTCAAGTATCATTTTTCTACATATGCAATGCATTTTGATTACAGAAAACGTGAGAACCAATAGTGTTTGTCATCACTGATGTTAACCTGGCATGATTCATATGGAATTACAGAATGTATTGTTTGGTTGTACTATTCCTTTACGAGTGATGCAATAGTCCTCATTAAAATTAGAACATATTAGCACTCTTATCTCAATTAAGTTTCCCCACTGACTCATATATACTTCTGGTGGTGAAATTTGTTTTATGGCCCTCACCTGCTTGCACTTGAAACCAGCTAAATAGGCTGCCAGGTCTCTCATCCCCCCTTCAACACTACGACTGTCTTCTCAACCTTTCCCTTTAACATGCCGAACTTCTAAACCATTCATTATCTTACCAGTTTCCCCCCTGTGCCGCCGCACACTAACAAGTGAACTATGACAGCCCTATTCTATCATTGAAATGATTAATTTGAATAGCCATAGGTTTCCTCACAATTATTTCTCCATTTATATATCCGAGGGCCTTTATAAACCGCTAAGGCTATCTCTGAAAAATCTGGGCCACATTTTCTCCATTCATTTTTGCATAAGATCCATTACATCGCTGCGGGGTAGAATTTTTAATCTGCCCCACTTCAATAAGCACATCTCTGCCTACCTTGAAAATATTGTCAAAAAAGTAAGGTGGTTATTATTTATCAGTGCCAGGATTGATAAGAAGGGGCCGAGAAGGGCTGCTAAATGTCTACAGGTGGGTCCAAATGAGACCACATTAAAAAATCTGGGATTTTTCCCCCGCCCCCACACAAAGTAAAACAAATACAAAATCCAAATGGAAACTGAAACGATTTCTTTTCTTTAGAGCACTGAAGCCTTTGTTCTGGGCCTCAAAGTGTCCGACATATGCCATACTGGGATCGTACTGCAATCAGATAAGGTAAAACTCCCTTGCAACGTGAGCAAGGGTTTATTACAGCCATTTTGTGAGATTATGCAGACACATTGGCTTGGCAAAAGTAGTGATTAGGCAGCAGCCTTCCCATGTCTCGCTTCCATATGGGTCTTTACAGCTCCAGTGAAGCCATTAATTTTGGAGGATCAGTGCGAGAAATATCAGTACCCACCGAAATTTGGGGTGACTCACAGGCACTATTGAAGGGCACCAAATGACATGCAAGGAGGACTTCCAAAAGGCTCTGTGACTGCTCCCGTTTCAGCTGGACTAGTATTTACGGTTAAATCCCCTGGTAGCCCAACAAGTCGGAGCGGTTCTCGGGAGATTACATCCGTGTTCGCACACTTACCTGTCAGTGTTCCTGACAAGCTTATTCCTCTGAGCTCTTGGAATAAACTCCTACACCTTCCCTGTGAAATCTACTTTAGCAAACTCCATTTCACACTTCAACCGTAGCCTGGTTTCATAACTTAATGTCAAATGTTGGTAAATAAACATGTAGGATGCTGCTTATTGAGTGAAACTTCCAAAAAAGATACAGACATGTGGCTACTTCCAGTTTTTTTATGGTGTTTTACTAAACATGCGACTGAGGTTACACTATTTTGGCATTGCAAATGACTACAATATCATAATTAAATATATGGTAATTATAATATCAGCACCTTCAAGGACAGTTTATTGATTATGATGTACAGTGTAGTCCAAAATACCACTTTGAACTTTGGATTTGAGACTTTAGTCTTTGCAACTTTACAGGTCTTCTTTATGCAGCAAGAGCTTGTAACACTCCAAAGAGAAAGGGAAACTTGAAATCGCATCATATGACCCCTTTAAAACATTTTAATAGTGGATTTGTTTGTTGTTCAGAAGACCTTAACCGATGGGCTGGAGTCGTGTGAATTACTTGTGGATTGTTGTGATGTTTTTATCAGATGTTTGGACTCTCATTCTGACGGCACCCATTCACTTTAGAGGATTCATTGGTGAGCAAGTGATATAATGCTAAATTTCTCCAAATCTTCTAATGAAGAAACAAATTCATCTACATCTTGCATGACCTGAAGGTAAGTTTTCAGACAATTTTCATGTTTGGGTGAACTATTACTTTAATTTCCATGTTTTACACAAACTTCTTGAGTTCATGTCAGTTCAATTAATGGGGGACATGCAAATATGAAGAAATTCATGTTATGTTGCACTTCAACACTTCAATTCAATTACTCTGATAATTTAATTTGTACCGAAAAGATAGTTGCATTTAATTAGAAAAATGCAAAATAGTAGCATTTTTACTAGCACACTCAGACATTTGGATCCACAGTATATATATATTTTTTGTAATTTAAATAACTGCCAGTAAGTATGCCTGCCGTCTTTATGCTCTCATCCAGCAGAGACTAATCTCAGTCTATTGGTAATTACCAATCAGTATGCAAGTCTTTGAAGGAATCGTCTCCAGGCAACCATATAGATCAGGATCAGCCAAGCTCTATTCCATTCATCAAATTAGAATGAAACGTCTCCTCCCAGATCAAAAATGTTGTAGTGCGTGTTGGAGGCTAATACTGTAGCTAATCATATATTTGCTCTACATATATTTCAATATGAAATGTTATTTATTTTATCTCTCAGAGATTGTACAGGGTTAATACAAAGGTATTAAATAGGTCAAAATGCTTACATAACAGCAAAAGAAAACCCCAGATGAATATGTTACATTTATAAAATGCTAAATTTCAAAATAAGGCAAAAATGTGGATACTACTGTATAAGGTGATTTACGATTTCAACATAAAATGTTAATGATAAAAAGTAACATACAAATATAAAGAAACTAAATAAAACTTAAATGATATAAAAATTTTTTAAATAAAAATGATAATAATGTTAAATAAAAATGATTATATAAAAAAACTAGAGAATAATAAAACATTTCTTTCAGATGTATGAATTGTGATATTTAGAAAACATGAAACCAACAGAGGGAATATCTGTTTAAGCTAAGATCTGATGACACACTTTGGTCTCATCGTCAAGCGTACAAACTCCGCAGATGTTTGCAAGAAATATTATCACAGGAACAAAGATGATGAAGAATCTTTGAGAGATATTAGGAAGGAAAACTGTTCAACTGTCTCCCGTAGCATAATGTGAATGACAGAAGAAATCATAATTGAACTGATGAATTATGGGTTGAATTTAAAGAAACAAGAAATGTGTTTCATAAGAAATCATCAAATAATAGACTTTCGTAATTATCCAGAAACTATGTATCAAACAAAACTGTCACTATTCTTCAAAACAATAATATCTCTCAGGGCTTATGCAAAACAACACAATACATTTTATCTATCTAAAGGCCTTTTTACATACACAAGCACAGCGTCGCTGACTTGACTGATGTGTGTAGAAGGAAAAACAGCAATTCAAGGATTTCTCTTAAAGATCCAAAATTCCAGGTCACTACTGCATTACAGGACTTAATACTGTGCTCACTTTGAATCTCAGTTCTGAACACCTAAGCAAAATTATTAGCTACAAGAGAAAGCCTGCTTTTTGCATAAAATCTACATACAAAAGACGAATAGTTTGACAAAGAGGTAAAAACCCATCACAATATAAGGTAATGGAGCTGAGTCACCAATTTCTTCTTTAAATAAAAAAAAAGGAAAATAAAATGTAGCTATATCCACCCAATCCGATTTTTTTAAAGTATTAAAGCTGAAGAGTGTATATATGCAACAATTCTAAGTAAGCCATTTTTAGCTTGATTTCTGTTTGGGAAACCATATTGGTGACGTCAGTGGCACGGAAATGACACACTTCACCTTTAAATAAAGACAAAGTTCTATGAAAACAACCATGACAAGATCAGAAACACTACTCCATGAACATGGGCCATCTTGCTTGCATCTGAACTGAAGTATCCTCTTGAGTTCAGGCCTGTGATGGAGAGGAACACAAAGACATCACAGACAGGATTATACATAGGAGGCCATTACAAGTGTCAAGCAATTGCCAGGCTAGCAGTTCGATTCTGTGAGTACAAGCTGAAAAATCAGTGTGCCCCACTCTTAATGAGCTCACATGAAGCCTTACTTGACATCTTTGGAATACGGATAGGGCTGCTGCTGCTGCCGTCTCCTCCGTCACTCAGGGCTTTGATCTGAACGAGCAGGTCCTCTTCTGATGGCAACTGAAGCTCCACGGACGTCCTGTTGGTCTCGACTTCGCTGCTTCCTCTGTGCCAGTTTTGACGATACACAACCTGCGCGGGAGAAAGTGGGTCAGTGAAATGCAGCTAGTCTGTGCCAATTAGCTAAAAACACTCAAAAATAAATAAGTCACAACAACAACAACGATATTTAATGATGTACAGCGGCCCCAAAACATATTTGAACACTTAATTCTGATATAAAAAGTTGGAATTTGATAAGATAAAATATCAAACAAAAAAGCATTTATTATGAAGAAAAATAGTACACTTTTTAAGCATAACATTTTATTAAAATAGGTTAAGTTTGTAAGTTTATAAAACAGTTTATTAGAAAACAGTTAATTAAACTATCTATCTCTCTGTCTCTTTCTCTATATACACACACTGCCATTCAAAAGTCTGGGATCAGTAAGATTTTTAATGTCTGTCTTTTTTTTTTTTAAAGGAGTCTCTTATGCTCATCAAGGCTGCATTATTTGTTAAGAAATACAGACAAAACAGTAATATAGTGAAATATTTTGGCAATTTCTAATACTGGTTTCCTATTTCAATATACTTTAAAATATAATTTATTTCTGTGATGCAGCGCTGAATTTTCATCAGCCATTACTCCAGTCTTCAGAGTCACACGATCATTCAGAAATCATTCTAATATGCTGATTTATTATCAGTGATGAAACTGTTGTGCTGCTTAATTTGTTTTGGAACCTGTGAAAGTTTTTTTTCAGGATTCTTTGATGAATAAAAAGTTTAAAAGAACAGCATTTATTAAAAATAGAAATATTTTCTAACAATATAAGATTTTACCATCAGTTTTTATTAATTTAACACATCCTTGCTGAAAAAAAAAAAAAAAAAAAAAAAATCCCAATAAACATTTGAATGGTAGTCTATATTATTACAAAAGGTTTCTTTTTTATACACATAACACAACATAAAAATTTAACTTTTAATCAAATCATTTAATTTAAATCCTAAACAAATCACCAACAGCAGCACTGGAAAAAAAAGTATATAAAAGTCTGTTTCACACCGTCTCCTTGCAATCTTCAAAACCCAGGTGAAAGAGGGAATACAAATTAAATAATCGTTATAAATTTCAAATTTCAAATTGACTTTCAGTGGGAGGATTATTAGTATGTTTGCTGACATATCTTGCTGTGAAAAAAATAGGTTTCACAATCCATAAATCATTTAAATTTCTTTTTTTTTTTTTTTTAAAGTTTGACAGTGCAAAAAAAATAGCCACCAAACTGATACTCTTTCTTACTCATACAGACTAGAAAATGTATGATTATTGATTGCATTATTCTGCAGGTGCCTCACAGTGGACGGTTAGGATTGCAAATGAATAGTGCTTCTCCCTTCTGAACGTGTCTTTGGTGAGGCCTCGCTAAGCTCGTCGTTCCAGATGGAGGATAGCATCAGAGCCGTCCAGCTGTTCGCCGACCCTACAAACCTCTACATTTCAGAGAGGCCATCGTCAATTAGTTGGCAGCACGCTGCAGCAAATTAATTTGCTCAAAAGAAATGAATCACATCGGACAATTTTTAATCCTCTTTCTGAACATTTTGTGTGAACTCTCGCTACAGATGACTCGGGTTTTGAGCGCAGCAGGAGATCGGGGGAGCTTGTTCTGAAATGTAAAAAAGCCTCAGATGTTTCTGAACTGTATGTATGACCTTGAGTGTAGAAGCGCTTTATTGCAGCTTGTGAAAGGAAATTTGAAAAATGTTAAAGATTACATTAAAGGGGAAATCAAATCTAGACAATTAAATATATTTAAAAATACCTTTTCATTTAATGTCAAGTCAGATATTTGTTCAGAATTCATTACTTTTAACATTTATTATTTCTATTCTTTGCTAAGGGTCTTGCTAAAAGCATATACAGTATCTATGAGAGAAACCCTGAGTTTTTCATAATTTTACTAAAAGTTTTGCTAGCAAAAAGGAGAAAGAGTGGCCTTTGCTGAGAAGAGAGATTTGACATTTTGAAAAATGTCTTTAGTAACAAAAAAGTGCTGTATATAGAACCAATTATGGGAAACTAGTATTAAATACAATGCTATGCAAAATGATTTGCACTTCAACTAAAGAAGTTCAAAGGAGTTGCATGAGCATATCTGGAAAGGCTTCACTAGCACTTCAAATAACAAATTTAATGAAAAAACATAGCATATACAGTATAATGCAGCTTTCAAAGGTAATGTTCTCAGTCATTTATCTCCGAGTTGTTTTATGTGAAACACCAGCTTATGTGGCACATAGATACAGCATGTTTATCAGCAAAGCAACAGAAGAGCGAGAGCAAAAAAACTGATTGCCTTGTAGCCGGTTACTTCTGATTCATTGTCCATCGCCTTCACATGTTCCCAGTTCAGAAAGACCTTTGAGTTTGTCAGGTTCCACTCAATATTCCCTGGGGGTTGACTTGGAGCTAAAAGACATAAATCATATTCTGATTTACTTCCAACTTGTGTAATATGACTGAACAACATCTCCTGTATATTTTGTCCTTTGCAATCTTAACAATCAGCACTGCACCAGCTGAGGTATCATCTAAATTTAAGACTTTCAAATCTCACTGGCACCGATTCAATTCAGCTTGGCTCTCACTTTAAATTAGCCAGACTATAAATGGAACTTTAGGAGTCATTTTTTTGTAGCAGCAAAAAACTGCTATGAAACAAAGAAACATTGTGCAGAGCATCAAAGGAATATCTCACCCAAAAATGTCAATTCTGTGATAATTTATTCACTCTCTTGTTTTTCAAATCCCTTAATAGAATGTCCAAGCTGATCTTTTCCATTCAGTGACGTTGAATGGTGACCACCTCAATAACTTAATTTCTGTCCATTTCTCATACAATGCAACTGTATGGATTCTAAAGATTTTTGATATACACTGTAAAAAATGACCGTGAATTTAACGGTAAAATGCGACTTTCTCATCACCATCTGCATTTGGTGGTTATCAGTGTATTACAAAGGTACAAAACAGATTTCAGTACTTCAATAGGTTGGTATATTATTTAACTGTATATTTAAGTTAAAACCGTAAAACCTAAAACGTTGCTACCGTATATTTTATGGTAAAATTCCGGCAACCACAGCTGCCGGTTTTTTACCGTAAATTTTACGGAATTTTTTACAGTGTAGTGAAAAAGTAGTATAGACTACTTTTATGATGCTTTTATCTTTTTGGAGCTTGACAGGGACAGGTCCCCATCCACTTTTACTGCAAGACAACAAAGTAGAGTAGACAATCTTCAAAACCTCTCCTTTTGTGTTCCTCAGAAAAAAAAATGTTGGGTTTGGCACAATGTGAGGATGAATAAATAAAGCCTGAATTTTCATTGTAGACTCATCTATTTCTGTTTATAAGTTCATAGTTTTGACACTAAAGTATGAGTTTTAATTCATTATGTGTGACAAACAGGGAAGTTCACATGGAAATAAAGGCAAAAAACGACATCTTAAAAAAAAAAACATGCTGTTGTAATGTATTACAGTTTTTGATATTCTACAATGCCAGACATTTTAATGCTGCTTGAATGTCAGCATGCCCTTCTTTCCTTTATTTCCATAACTCCCTAACAGTAAAATAGTTGCCCCCGATGTAGGGTTGCTTAGGAGCAATTTCATAAATTTTGTGTTTCCCACTGCCCGGTCATGTGCCCACACAAACAATTCTACTTTTCACAGTAATTGAGGAATTTATACATAGTTTAACAGCAATTGAGCACTGAACCAGGGAAAATCTGAGCTCTTTTCTTGTCAAATTTCATGGCTAGGACTTTGTGCACCATATATTCATAGTTTTAAAAAATTGAGGATAATAGTTATCACAATTTGAAGCAATTTAACTAATGATACCAAGCCCACCGAGTCTACAATACATGCTATTATGATAACTATACTAGATCATAACAGTGGTCGGCGATATCACAGTATGTTTTGTCAGAGAATCTGCCGTACAAAGGAAAAAGGACAATCGGCTATCTGCTCCGACACAAAGAAAGAGATCTGTCAAGCCCTTTATTTTAAAGCGCCCTTAATTGTATGCTCAGTCTATTAGCTGAAAATAGCCATAATACAAATAGCCATAATACAAAGAGTTTATCAGATCAGTTTCTGGCTCAGTTAAACACAGTGTTTTGTTCTTGATTATTGGCATCAGATAATGAGCCTATTTAGCCACAGTAGTTTAACAAAGGCCACCTTAATCTCTTATAGTGTTGAGAACACCCCACTAAGACGTTAAGACGGTAGGACTATGATCCTGTCAGGCCCCTAATCTACATTAACTGACAAATATTATCTACATTAACTGACAAATATATATATTTTTTCAAATATACTGGGGTTAACTTTTATTTTAATGACATTATTTATGCAACTGCAATTGAAGTGTAAATGCATATGAGTTGCATATGTATACACAGACAGCATATATATATATATATATATATATATATATATATATACTGGCCTTTTTACTTTCACGTTTTGTGCAAATAGTCCATGTAGTCTTTTAAAAGGCTACATACATAATAAATACAGAGGACTTAAGACAATGCTGTTAAAAAGTTTTAGATGGAGTTTGCCAAGCCACAGCATGCCATGCCCAAAATAATTTCATGTCATCTACTCCTTTACTGTGTTTGGTTCAAAATCATGTTTTTAATAACCATATGACTTACGTGGCTTCTTGGTGGTGATGCTGATGGGTACGCTGGAGGGACCGGTGCCTGCGCTGTTGTGTGCTCTGACTGATATCAGATA